CTGTCTGCAGGGCCTGCAGTCTCCTGGCATATCCTGCTGGCACAAGAGGAGGCCTTAGAAAACTACAACTGAGCCCGCAGAGAGGCTGTATATGAAAAGAAATGATTTCAGTACACAACACATTTTCAACATTTGAGACGAAATTGGTCTATGACTTCATTTGAGCAAATGCTACTCAAAAAATTATCTATTAACCGTTCCTCTGAATTTGGATATCGTGCTTAAATCACTGATATAATATTGACTATACTTCAAAGACTTGATGGTAATTCTGTTTCTCACAGCTCACTGGCTTCTGGCTGTGTTAATGTGCAGTTTTAGAGCAGATTTTTATCACTTCCTTTTAAAATGCAACAGATTTAGACCCGCACATCGATAAATTAGCATCTAAAATTCTGCAATAATGTATCTCTTCATCATTCATGGTTCTAACAATGACAGTGCATTAGATACAAGTCCAGTGTGTGGATTGATTAAAACTGCTCGCAGTGGTAGCAAAGAGTGTATAAGAAAGGTTTGACAGGAGTCTTTAATAGATGTCAAACGGGTCAAGAGAGGAGAACAGTGGCTTTAACTGCCTCAAAGACAGATGGTTCCCTGCCAGATGTGAGGGAGGGGTTGATGATATCAGTCAGGAAGTAGAGCAGATCAGCAGTGATGGTCCGCGAGGGGGAGAAGGGAGCGGGTTCACAGAGGGCAGAAGATAAGTCCACTCATGGGAATTTTTTTAGGACTTCATTTAGGATGGGACGAGGGAGACATTAAGCTCATGTTAGAGGGGTCAGTGGAGGAGACAGTGACCGGAGGGTAGCCTGCAGGATGATCCTCGGCTTTCATCGCTCATCTTTCTGGAGCGAAGAGAGGAGGGGGGGAGTAGGGCCAAGTCGAGAGCAGAGGATTGAGACGAGCCTCTGTGGGTCAGAAGCAGAGATGTGGATTTAAAGTGGTAAATAGCTGATCTGACAGCAGATAGAGGCGAAGAAAAGAGGAGATGAGATACTAAAACTCTTCCAGGAAAGCAGATTTGTGGAATTTGCTAGTGGCAAAGACTTTCGTCTTTTCTTTTTATCGTTTTTGTACAAATGTCTAAATGATTCACGAGTCCTAGAAATAGACAGGGCCACGGAACATGGCAGGGATTATAGATATTTATTGTCTCATAACTGTCTTCATAGGGCAAATCATTTTTGTGCCCATGGTTGTTTGTGAACTACTTACATTTTTAGAAATGCCCTCAATCTGGGTTTGGACTGGCACCAGTTTAAATCTTCACATTAATAGACAAAACTGTTTTGATGTTTCCAAAATCTAAAAGTAAAGGCAGAACTAATTCTGATCGGGCTCATTAACATCATATGACTCTTACTCTTGATGAGATGGAGTTAGCCTTAGCAGGTGCACTCTCTCTTGGTCGACCTTCTAGTTACTTCTTCCACGGGTTATGTTTTCATCTCTGTTTGTCTGTCTGTTATTAAGCAGGATTACGCAAACATTTAAAGACATATTACAACAAAACGTGCTGGTAGCATACTGTATGGGTCAGGGAAGAACCCATTCAATTTTAGTGTGGATCCGGATCAGGGGGCGGAGCCATAAATTATTTGTCACTTACCTTAATTTTGCAAGATAGGACGGCTTTTGACAAAAGGTCTTGATGAAAAGAATCTGGCTTGTGATGGGGAAGGATATATATGAGTGTGTGCAATTGGGTGCACATTAAAATAAAAATCCAGATCTAGTGAATTTAAATGAGGGCATTGACTGAGCTCTACTGAGTGACATACTAGTTCTATATGTGAAAATATTCTCTTTGAAACTGTAAGTTAGTCTTTGCTCATTAAGGTTTATTGCTTGTAAAACACACCCTCTACAGTGAACACTATGACTCTGAGGTATTTGAAGTAAATTGCATTATTATTGCTCTGATGATGTGTGACATGGGACGTTTACTTTTATCTCTGTCTCTTTTCCATAGCTGCAGGAATTGTATCAAATGGGAGATTAGCAATAGTCACTAAAACTAATTTTTCCCTATGCATGTTGCTAAATATGTTGATTCTTTTTGTCTAGACGGTTTATAACCTCTATGTAAAAATGGCCCTGTAGTAAATCAGTCAGTGGCATCAACATCAGCTGCCTAGCACCACCTTGTGACGAGCAGTCCTTACACCGACAACACTTCAATTTGGATTTATAATTCCTCTTATTTACTTTTGGATTCGTCTGGATGAATAAATAGATAAATGTTTCTATACCTCCTTTGATTTTTATTTTTTTCTAGCAGTTTATGCTCCCATTCTGTTACTCAGTCTTTTTTATTGTTGGCTCCAACTGCTACCACATGATAGTCACAAGGCATGATTTCAGCGGAACTCTCCCTTCTTCTGTGTTGTATTTATGTTTATCTCACAAACAAATTCCCAGTGTTTCTTAAATCAATCCACATAGATCACCCCCATGACCCCAAGAAAGGATGTTAATTCATATTAGATGGAAGAAATATGAAAAAAACGAATTATGTAAAAAAAATTAAAAACTCTGCATTGCTGTAATGTTTTTCAGTCTGTTGCAATTAAAAGCTTCATCGATACTGAAATAATGTTAAAACATGGAAAATAATCAATATCATATGAGCATAACAGTGAGGTAGCAGGGCTGCCTGCTGCTCAGACACAGTTGTGTTACAGATGTTTGATCACAGCCACATGTGGTGTCATATCTTGTCTACATGTCTTTGTGAAGACACTTCTGAAAGACCCTTTAAGTAGAGCTTGTGAAGAGCTTGAGACATAACAGCATCACAGTTTCCATCTAATGGTTGACATTCCCCGAAAAGACATTAGATAAATTCGGCATTGAAATAAATCATGTTTTAATGTTTTAAAGACAGGAAACGCAGACTCAAAGCCGTTAGCAGACATGTCGGGTCAGCTGGGGTTTATAAACTAATTAGAGTGGAATCTGTATGGCACTGTACACTGTCACCCCCTCACATATAGGCCAAGTTCATTCAGGAGTAATTTAATTGCATACTTTATGTCCGAATTATTCTTGCTCCAGCGGCTACATTGTACAGCGAGGACAAACACTTTGTATGCCATGAGGACGGAAGCAAGGATTTCGGACGATATGTTCTCTTCCAAGTTGCAGATCATTGAAAGCTGCGAGTTTATGAAATAATATGAAGGATTTGTGACGCAAGGGGCTGAATACCACCCTGAAAACCCCATTCACCACCCCCAAAAACACATTTACTACACCGTGAAAATTTGCATAAGTTGTTTTATTCATAGTTGTTGTTCTTTTTATATTTCTCTTTTAATTGTTTTGTCTTTTGTTGAAGTGGACATCCCATAAAGTCAAGCCTGAAGCCCTTAGCTGGGTTGTTTGCACATCACCCTCTGAAACTGAAAGGAAAGGGTAAGAGGAGGAGTGGAGAGGTTTTTTTTTATTCCTCCGTCTCATTCTCTCACTCTCACTCTCCCTCTCTCTCTCTCTCTATCTCTCAAACAGCATCCCAACTCGACCTTTCTTTTCATTTGTTTAAACAAAGAGTGTACCTTACCGTATATTTACACATCATACTGACTGACTGTTACAATTTCCACTTAGGTAATGCAAGGAAGATTGAACGTTTCTAGGTTTGGATCTTCGTTTTCATGTTTTTCTACAGTCTCGTTTTGATCCACTTTCTCATCTCATGCTAACTTTGTAGTGAGATTTTTCTGTGTCGTCACTGTCATCATCAGCATCATCATCATCATCATCATCATCATCATCCTTTTCATCCCCATCATCATAGAATCACAATCACTGTTATTTTATTCATATAATTCTTTTCAATAGATTCCTCTCTGACAACTGTACACTCGTACACAGTGTTTGACTTTTATATATATTTTTGGGAATATATTATTTAAACCTAAGAAAAGAGGAACACAATCCCAAAGAAAATATATTAGTATCCCAAAGTAACAAAATCATGCATGTTTAATGTATTTCTCCATAAAAACAAAAAAATAAAATAATGTAAATGGATGGGATCTGGTTTATTTACAAACTGATCTTGGCACTGTTTTTTGTTGTCTCTTGCTGGAAACTGGAATGATCATAAAGAATACTTTTGACTGTACCGAGCGTAACACTCTTGGTAATTTAAGTCAATGACCCGCTGTAAAAGGCAGGTTAGAGAGACATATTCTTTTTTTTAAAGCACAAAAAAACACAAAAAGGAAGTGGGGAACAGAACAACATTAGAGAGTCAGCCAGGGGGAAACAGAAACAGTGTGTAAAAAACGTGAAGAAAACGAAAAAACATAATTTCACTTCAGCTTTAGACTGTGGCAGTTTCCTCTTTTAGGCAGAAACCCTGTGACATCATGTCGACTGACATTTTTTTTTTTCGTCCCCAGAAATACAGCCTCTCTCTATATCTCGTCAGGTGCGCTCACTGGTCACCACTGTTGGGGTGAAAATCCAAAAGAGAACATTGTTTCTGTCAAAATTCAAATTGTGAAGCAGCATTAATTGACTCAGGCAAATAAATTGAAAGGAGACAAAAGAAACTAAAAACCACCGGCACTACTCAGTCTCAGGTTCGGCAGGCAGGTAGGGGTAGCTGTCTAAAATTTCCAGTGTTGCCTTGTCAAACAAGTGCTTGACTGTCGATCCAAAGATCTTGTGTGTGAGCAAACATAATGTTGTGTGTCGGTGTGTGTGTGTTTGGGTGTCTCTGCATACTCATATTCAGTGCAAACACAATTGGGTTAAAAACAATCCCATCTTCACCACGGTCCATCATCTCTGTAGTTTCAGTTGAAATCTACAGAATTGTCAATCCCTGACCATCTCACTACGTCTCTCCTTTGCAGTTCCCTCTTGCACATCTTCAAAGAGATAAACCGTCGGGCAGATTGATACGCCTTACGGTTATCCAGCACAATGGCGGGCCGACTGCTGCCAAGCAGCCCGCTGTACCCCCACCCACCCACCCACCCCCAGCATCAGGTCCTAGCACAGCCCAATGTACTTGAGATTGTTCTGGATGATCACGTCCGTGACAGCGTCGAACACAAACTGGATGTTGCTGGTGTCAGTGGCACAGGTGAAGTGCGAATAGATCTCCTTGGTCTCCTTGTTGCGGTTGAGGTCCTCAAACTGCCGTTGCACATAGACAGCTGCCTCCTCATAGGTGTTTTGACCTTTGTAGTCAGGGAAGCACACTGTCAGAGGAATGCGTTTGATCTTCTCAGCCAACAGGTCCTTCTTGTTGAGGAAGAGGATGAGCGATGTGTTGGTGAACCAGTTGTTGTTGCAGATGGAGTCAAACAGGCGCAAGCTCTCGGCCATACGGCTCTGAAAGAGAGAGAAGAGGAAGAAAAAGGAAAATCAGACTACCATGAAAACATTTCAAAGTTAAAGAAATGTAGTATTTACTTTGAGGCAACAACCCAAACCAGCCCAATCTATCACACTATCAGATCTCATTCAAACAATTGAATTCACATGATTTAGCAAAACCCAAGAGGGAAAATTAGAGCATGTAAGGTCACGGCACAATTTGAGGATGAAAAGATAAGAGGAGGTCTGAAGTCTTCCAGGACGTCACAGATACATTTGACAAGCCAATGGGATGGCTTCTGATATGTCAACAGAGACTGGAGACTCAGACAGTTGAAGACCTGCATTTGAACTTTCCCATTTGCCTCTGAAACGGCACATTACTTATTTTACCATCACTAAATGAAAAATTGTAAATTGGTTAGTCAAGTGTGAACGGCTTAATCTTATTTGTTACAGCACCTTTAACTCCATAGAGAAGAATAGCTAATAAACTTGCACTGACTGTTTTGTATGAAAATGTGAATGGATCTTGTGGAGACAGGGACAAAGACTGTTGACAGACAGGCTGTTTACACTGAGGACAGACAGGTCTGACCTTATACGGTGTGACATAACACAATCACTCATCCTGCGGGACTTCTCAGAGCTTATAGTCGTGTGATAAGAATAATCGTGACTTCTTCCCCTTAGCGTCTCCCTCTGTGCTAATAGGGATAATTTAAATTTTATTCTTTCTCTGTAGTATGACAAGATTATGTGTCACAGTTTTTTTTCAAAACTGTATAATGGAAATCAGTAATGTCTGCTGTGTCCTTCAGACAAATTAGCTAGTCATACGATGCAGTAAATGGAGCATATGGACGAGTATCTGCAAGACTTTACAATTAGAAAAGAAATATGGACCCCACCTTCGACACTATGCCGTAATTAAAACGTTTTATGCCTCCATCCCAGCGATAGATGAAGCCAGACGCAATATTTTAATGTTCATGTTGTCTGTGCGTCCCATTGAACACGATGTTTCAGAGGGAATTTTTTATTCTTTGGTGGTCAAAGGTCAAATGACAAGGTCACTGTGACCTCATAAAACCCATAACTCAGGATTCATAATTCATTAATCATGACACAATGCCATTTTATACTCAAAAGCTTCGCTGTGAAATCGTAATATTTAGCAAAAATACTTTTTGTCTGGTTTTGATTCAACTCAAGAGCAGAAGGGGAAATTGTGACCTTATACCCTGCATGCAGTGTGACTTGTTGGTGGCATTCAACCATGAGGCAATAATTCTTTTCATGTGAAATAAGCTGTTTGTCATTAATTTGTCTTGATCAATTATTTAATTCCACTTTATGCAGGGTCTAACAAACATCTATTAGTTTGAATAGAAATGTTTAGATAGTATTTGAAACTGGGTTGAATTTCCTCATTTGGTTTGCAGAAAATATTGCTGGTTCTGTTGCAGAAGAAAAAGGTCTGTGTGTGCCTATTGGACATGCATTTGTGTGCTCCCAACACTTTTTTGCTCATGTGATGTTAAATGTATAAGACAAAAGAAATAAAAAGAAAGTTGAGCTGTTCATGGCAGCTGCTGGCATGTGGTGACTGGCCAGTAGCTTGTGACTGGGAGGTTGTCTGATAGAAGACTGCTGTTTAAAAGGTTACGGAAACAACATGATGCTCTGAGCAAATCACAAGATCTGCACAGTATGAAAAAAGATACTGAGGCAAATAGTGGAGGAAATGCCAGTCATAGTGCAGATTCAAAGCAACCCCTGATTATTCAGTGGTGTAGTGTACTATTTTTGGATAATGATTAAAAGGCTACAGTTATGAGAAAGCTAAGTTGCATGTAACCCAAAAGATACAGCTTCCAAAATGATTTCAATTCAAGCTAGTGAGGGTTGAAAAAAAAATTAGTCACCATATTGAATTTTTTATGTCTAGAATTAAATAATAATATTTTTTAAATTTTGTAACAGGACATTTTGTAAGGACATTGGTTACAAGACAGTTATCTGCTCTTTGCACATGTTGGTTGGTCCCTGTTAATAGATGGAGTTTTCTAAACAGTCTTAAATTAAGATTAAATAAATCTGAAATCTGAGTAATAGCAAATTCATCCCAAAAGGAAGTTTCGAAACAAAGTTTTCCAAAAACACAATAGGCATAAATGTATGTTTGTTTGAACCTCAATTGAAGTGGTGGTGGATAGGAACAACCAAAATGAGACATCCACTGATACAGATACCTGTGGCATGCGTGCAGACACACACACACACACACACACACACACACACACACACACACACACACACACACACACACACACACA